TCCCTTGACCTCCCAGGGCTCTCCGATTTCGGTCACTCGGGCTGCTGGGCGCTTCCGCTCTGAAGACTCGCGCCCTTTGTCCTGGGTGTTTTCTGTTCATTCTTTCTCTGAGAATTCCTCGTTCTTTGGCGCTCTTTTCTACCAGTGCTACCGAGACAGGGGACTCCAGCTTTCTTGTCTCTCCTTCCATCTCCATCCCATTTTTTGACTTGCAGGAACCCGTTCTTGCAGCAGGACATACTCTTTCTTTCATCCCGAAGTGGCCTTTTAAGCTGGGTTTCATCTTCTCTGCTTGCCGGTGGCAGCTCCCCTCTCGGGCCACGGTTTCTGCTCAATTTGGTCTGAAATGTCACTCGGCACCGCGGGGTCTGAGCGCTGCGGCTGGGGAGCGTGACGGAAGATCAAGTCACTTCGGCCCAAAGCTAAATCAGTTCATTGGAAAGGAAAAGGGGGGGCTGGGGTTGGGGCTGGGTGGCCGAGCGCTCGCCGGGCACGTGTGAGGCCCTGGTTCAGTCCTCGTGAAGGTAAAGAAAGAAAACTAAGGGGTTGTGTCCATCTCCAACTAGAAAAAAATGAAAGATTAAGAAAAAAAAAGTGAAGGTAAATGCCCCTGAACTCACGACGTCCTGATAGTCACGCACAGTGACACTGCCGTGGTCGTTCATGCTTTCTACAGTTAGGTGTGTTTGCAAGCTGCCCTGTCCAGGGGGTGGACATGCCCGGGCCCTGGTGGGCAGTGGGGCTCCCCTTTCCTGTCGTCACCTGGGGACCTGACAGTAGCATTGACCCTACTGAATCAGCACCTGCCCCAGAGCAGGGGACCCTCTGCCGTGCCCCTGGGGGACCCGGCTGTTAGGCCTGCCACTGGGCCACCACCTCCATTTTCATCTCCCAGTTTGTTCCCTTTCCTGTGTCGCCTCCCTGGATTTGAGGGGCGACCTGTGGTCCCAGTTTCCCAGGAGAGATCCTCTCGTCTCCTAAGTCTGGGGTCTGAGCCCAGCTTAGCTCGTGCCGAGGGACCCCCAGAGTCTAAAGTAGAGTAGGACCTCTGCAAACCACTGTCCTGCAGGGGAGAGGGGCTTCTCTGGGGGGTTTGGCCTGAAGTGACCGGGGCCTGTGGGCTCCGTGGCCGGGGCCTGTCCTGGTGTCCCGGCCGTGGGCCCATGCGCTCACTCCCTGTCTGACCCACAGACCTCCTTGGGCTGTTGGTTTTCATTGTCCTCGTTTCATGGTGCTGGGGATTAAGCCCGGGGCCTGGGGTGTGCCAGGCAAGCCTCTGTCACCGAGCCTGTGCCACCGAGCCACTGCCACCGAGCCGTACCTGAGCCCTGTTGTTCCTTTAAATAGGCTGGAGCTTTTAGGACTGTTTTAGATTCAGCGTAAGGTACAGGAGTCCGCACATGTCCCCTGCTGTGACACACAGTCTCCTGCAGAGCCGCCCATTGGCCATAGTCAAAGACCCGAGATGACACCTCGCCATTGCCGATAGCCTGTAGGTTCCCATCAAGGTCACAGTGGTGT